TAGACACACCTTATTTTTCTCACCAGTAGAAGATTAATAATGGACTGATCGAGCTGTTCCAGTTTATCAGTGCTTTCTTAGATCTGTTTTTTTAGTTTGGTTGATCTGCTGAGGCAACGTAGACCCGAATGGAACCTGATGGATCACAGGAACTTCTTACCCTCACAGAGGGGACTTGGAGACTAACTGTACTCTGCAGGTTATCACTGTTGCGATGAAGCAGCAGCTCCTTGTCCTTGCTCCTCCTCCTCAGGCTACAGGAGGTATCCATGGGGTTCCATGGCTTCTCCTGAGTGGACAACACCAGCATATAACTGTTCCGGTCTAGTCATGTTTCAGGAAGTCTGTGTGGACCGTGGAGCCATCAGCCTCACCTCCTCCATCTCCTCCCAGCCATCCGGGCCGTAGGAGTCCAGCAGTCTGAGGTCCAGCATGGACTTCACCGTCATCACACTGTCTGCGTTTGCCGTCCTCCTCGACCAGCGGCGGCGAGGGGGTGGAGCCTGGCTCTCCTGACAAGTCAGAGCACTGGTGTTAAACAGCATCTTACTGGTTTCCAGTCTGCACTGTGTTTCAAGGTCAAAGTCAGGAATAAATGCTTCTTCTGGTTGTTCATCAGGCTGAGTCACACAGTTTCATTAGATGAGAAGTAGTCACTTACTTTTCTGATGTCTTTGCGGTTTGTCTCATCAGAGTCTTCTGGAGGGAAAAAGAACAGATCCATGTGAAACGATCGGATTATTCCGATAAAACAGGCCGTGCTGGATGAACAGAACTAAAGCTGGAGTCTACTCCACTGATTCAGCGGCTCACATGTTGGTAAGAACTTACCCTTGATCTCCTCTGGGCTGTCTGTGGATATCCCTCCCTCTTCTTCCTCTGCGTCGCTGTCAGATGACAGGTTGACCACACACGGAGCGACTGCAGCTCTACTCATCAGACAGGAAACACGTGATAAAGAACAGATCCCTGCATGACTCTGATCAGACTGTAACATCAGATCTGAAAAGGCAAAGATCTGCTGATCTGAGGGCCTGAAGGAAAGGGTGTATCTTAGTGATTAAAGTTGGTGGGGGCGCTCTAAGGGTGGGCGCTGATACAAATAACAGCCGATACAGATGCCAACAGCAATATATCATCAATCACTAGTATGGACACAATTTCACATCCATCCATCCATCCATGGATGGATGGATGTTGGATGGTTATATGGTTGGATGCATGATGGTTGGATGGATGATGTTGGATGGATGATGTTGGATGGATGGGTGGATGTTGGTTGGATAGATGATGGATGTTGCATGCTGGGTGGATGATGGTTGGAAGATAAATGGAAGATGGATGGATGATGGATGGATGGATGGATGGTTTCCCTTTCAGCTGTATCAGTGTTTCTCTTCCTTTACAAGCGTTCAATTCAAATGTAGAAATGTGTCCCATAGATTGCTGACAGCCAGAGTCTATGTATTGAAAGTTATATTTCTAAATTTTTTATAGTCTACTTGTTCAGGGTTAATAGAACCATAACCTTTGGTTAATCCTTTGGTTAAGCCTTTGGTTAACTCTTTGGTTAATCCTTTGATTAACTATTTGATTAACCCTTTTAGTTAACTCTTTGGTTAAACATTTGGTTAACCCCTTGGGTTAACTCTTTTGTTAACTCTTTGGATTAACTCTTTGGTTAAGCCTTTGGTTAACCACTTGGGTTAACTCTTAGTTTAACTCTTTGATTAACCCTTTGGTTAACTCTTAGGTTAACTCTTTGGTTAGCCTTTTGGTTAAGCCTTTGGTTAACCATTTGGTTAACCCATTGGGTTAACTACTTGTTCAGGGTTAACAGAACCCTAACCTTTGGTTAACCCTTTGGTTAAGCCTTTGGTTAACTATTATGGTTAAGCCTTTGTGTTAGCCATTTGGTTAAGCCTTTGGTAAACCCTGTGGTTAACTCTTTGGTTAATCCTTTGATGAACTATTTGATTAACCCTTTTAGTTAACTCTTTGCTTAAACATTTGGTTAACCCCTTGGGTTAACCCTTTGGGTTAACTCTTTGGCTAAGCTTATGGTTAAGTCTTTGGGTTAATCCTTTGATTAACTATTTGATTAACCCTTTTGGTTACCTCTTTATTTAAACATTTAGTTAACTCTTAGGGTAACCCATTGGGTTAACTCTTTGGTTATCTTTTTGGTTAAGTCTTAACCCAATGGGTTAACCACTTATTCAGGGTTAACAGAACCCTAACCTATGGTTAACTCTTATGGTTAAGTCTTTGGGTTAACCCTTTGGTTAACAATTTGATTAACCCTTTTGGTTAACTCTTTATTTAAACATTTGGGTTAACTCTTTGGTTAAGCTGTCAGCATTTCTCAGCAGGTCCAACTTACCTGGGCTCCACCGCCCTCTGGTCAGAGGTGCTGAGGGGGTTAGGAACTGAGCTGGAAGGTCGGAGTTTGGCCAGCTGATGCCTCATCCTGATGGTCAGCTCTGCACTCAGGCGCCAAACAAACATGCAGCTGCACAAACAAAGCAATGCAGTGATTACTGCATTTTCTGCTGGTGGGAAAAAACTAAAGGTCAGCTGGCACCGCGTCATCAGGACCAGCCCCAACAGCACCTTGGGAAACTATTCATACCATCTGGACTCTGCAAAATGTCTCTTAAAATAAATGCATTTCTTTCTTGAATTGAGGAGGTATTTGAGACACTTTGCCAATGAAACAAGACAATTTACATTTAAAATAAGAAAAATCTTTTGCATTGTCTTACTTCATGTGCATATTATCTAATTATCTTAATTTAAGAGTGAAATTCTTATTTACCTGCTCCAATTAAGGATAAAACCATTTAATTCTGGAATTTCTTTACTTATCTCTAGATAATTTTTGCAGTGAAGTTCTTAAAATTATAATTTCTTTTTATGAAGCTAAGGTCCCTGTCACACCTTGACGATTTAGATCAGTTCGCATACGAAAAATCTGGCCAAAACCCTGGAATACGTTGGAGAAGTTATGGGTCCATTTTGTATAAATAATGAGCTCGCTGAAGGACGCTGGCACACGTCACTATACATACCGCCGTATGCCAGCATCTGCCATCCGTGGGCCATCAGTTCCAGGTCAGTTATCTGATGGTTGACAGACGTTCAGTGTCAGTTTCTCATCAGTCGTGGCGTCTAGCTTATCGTAAACCTCTGAGTAACCTATAGCGTAACTTCTGCGTAAATCAGCATGGTGTGACAGGGGCTTAAACTTTAACCCTTGCAGCCCACAGAATGCCACCCTAGTCTCTTCCAAAAGAAGCGAGATCTTCCACAGCTCTTCTGTGTCTAACGGCTAACAGGACTTACATCCTTCCTGCCGGTCCTCCATAAAGGCCAGGTTTGTGAACTAAGAATTGCCCTGAGGAAAGCTTCTCTTTGCAGCTCCTCCAGAGTCACCTTGGGGCTCCTGGCAGCTTTTCTACAGTCTGCCCGCCCCTCCAGTCAGCAGGCCATCCATGTCTTTGGTTTAATTTGGGGTATCAGTGTAAAGGGGATCAACCCTTCAATAATTCTAGAAGCATTAAAGATTTCATAACTAAACTAGTAGTGAAACAAATAATCGGATTAATCAAATATTGAGATAATCGTCAACTAATTTAGTAATTGATTAATCATTACCTAGAGTATAGAGAGTCTAATATATGCATTAGCTGACTGAGCGACCCACTTGGAGCAGGAATTAAACCAAAATTGTAAAATGTATAGAAATATTTCGCATTAAAAAATAAAAGAAGAAACTTTTTAGTTTCAGCCCTAAACTAAGCATAACTTTACCTGCTTCTTTAAAGTTCTGTTCTGGTTTAGTGATTGAGAGGTTTGTAGTTCAATGATGAAACTGGACCAGCTGAAGTGTTTGAAGACCAACCTGTCTCCTGATGCGGTGATCAGGTGTCTGCAGTCGTTGCTGAACTTCAGCCCCGTTACGATCTCTGAACACAGACAGGAAGAGGTTGGAGCTCCACTGTAACATAACAGAGGCGTGGAAGACAAACAGAGACGAATACATGTCCCGCTGACCTGAGTGTCCAAACATGGTGGCCACACGCTCTCCAGAACAGAAGTCAAATATGGACACATTCTTGTCTGAACAGGAGGTGGCGATGTAGAGTCCAGATGGGTCAATTTGCACCTGAAAAAGAAGAGAAGGTGACGCAGGGCTCCATGCACTGACCTCTATTTATTCACTGGATTGCTGATAGGCAGTAGGTAGTACATGGTGCTGTGAAGTCACCTGCCGCCATATTGGTACTCCCTTGATAGACTGGTCTGAATGTAAACAATCCGTGGGCTACAGCATCGAACAATGATGATGTTCTCATGTTCAGGGGGACTGAAGACTTTTTAATAAAGATAAATTCATCACTTTGACACCAGTGTCAATGTTTCATAGCATCAGTAGATTACTGTCGTTTATGGTAAAGGTAATTTAAGCCGGGCATACACTATACGATATTTTCAATCGTTGCACACAGTACAGCTCACACTGTACAATGAAACTGCAGGGTTTAAAAGTTCCCACCTCATCATGTTTGTTCTCACTCTGCAACGCTCTGATAAGATCTACCTGGCTCAGCAAAGGTGGCTACTATGGTCAATTTTACAGAAAGAACTCCATTTCACTCATTGCAACCCTTCCATGCTGCTGCGTTTTCCTCTGAAAGGAAGAAGAAGAAGAATCCTTGTTTGCGCACTGAGCGATTTGCCCACTACCACCTTACAACTGCCTGGATTTCAAGCATGTTAGATTTTCTCCTGACCTCACGATTCCTGATGGGGAGGAGGTCATTAGAGACTGATTGCCCCTCTTTACCCCCTTTACACTACACCACACACCATCATTTCATCATTTCCCCATTGTGGGACAATAAAAAGATTTACATTTACATGTAAAAAAATAGCCATATCTCCTCTTTCTTTCTACTTTTCTCTTTTTTTTCTTTTTCTTCTTCCGTTTTTCTGCTCTACTTACATTGCAGTGTCCATATAAACTGTAAAACTCCCTGCATAATTATAATAAAGCATTTTATGTTGGGCTCTTTTTGGCATCAAGACAATTATTCTTATTGCCAAATTGCCAGACAGGACACTGACGATGCACTAAATTGATGATGTACATGTAATTTTATTACATAAAATTCAAATATTTTACATCAAGACTGAATTACAAGTACATGTCGGATAATGGTGCAGTATTTTCTATTTGCACATTGTGATATATACTGTTATGCTGTGTTTGTGCAGACAGATTCTTCCTATTTTACAGCCAAATGCAACACAGGGAGGCCTTTTTATGGCGCGACTCCATGAGAGTGGGGAGAACCAAAATGGCGGCAGGTAATTTCACTTTTATCGGCCTATAAGCATCCAGTGAATAAGTAGAGATCAGTGGTTCCATGAGATGTTGTCATGGAACCCAAGAGATAAATACCTTGATGACCGTCCCCTCCTCGCCCTGAGAACCTTTGTAGACCTTCTTCTGTTTGGCATTGGCAATGTTAAAGATTCTGCAGAACAGATGAGGCAAAAGCTCTTCTTCATCATCATCATTCTAGAACACATCCACCATGTCTAATGATGATGATCTACCTGATTTTGCGGTCCTGACATCCAACTGCGGCGTATCTCCGGGTTGGCTCCACATCCATGTCATACAGGGTGGTCTTCCTGACAACGTGATGCGCCCGTGTGAACTCCAAACCTTCTTTCGTCTGAGAGAGAGGAGGAAAACCCTCTGACTATACTGACTGGATGGTGTACCGACACTCACAGCTATTCTACCTGCTGCTGTGCTCACCTGCTGCGCTGTACGGAAGTAGACGCTCTTATCGGCTCCACAGCTGATCATCCACACCTTCCCCTCATTGGCTGATGGGCCAGAGAAGAAGATCATTAAAACACAGCGAGGAGGACCCCCATGGATCAGAGGGAGGAGTGAACCATGGTAGTATACCAAAAAGAACTCCAGGAGGAAGGAAG